GTGATTGCACAACTCATTTTAAAAGCGATTTAACCATGGACTGTGGGAATGATTGTCCAATTTTCTCAATATGATTGAACTATCGTATGATATGTGGATTATGTGCCAATAAAACTGTAAAAAAAAAGTATGTGAGGCAGAGCCTTGACATCTTCATTATGTCGTTGTCACCATCTTGATTTTTAATGAGCAATCTGGCTGGCCTTCCTCCAAGACAGATTTGCTAGTTCTTCCCGCAGTCCAGGATCTATGCAAGAATCTTCACCAACACTGTCACTCTAGTCTTCCTGTTCACGGTCCCACTTGCACATGCGTACTAGGTGATTGAAAAGACCGTGGCTTTAGTCAGGTGCACCTTAACGTGACACCTTTGTCTTTCACGCATGAAAGGGGTCTTTGGCAGCAGCTCTGGAAAGGGGAAGATGAAGTGATGCTGGTAAGAGGGCGGCTTGAGGTTTCAGCGAGGTGGTCCCCAGTGTCGGTGACATTGGACTAAAGACTTTAAAGAAGAAAGGGATCGAGCCGTGAGAGTGACTTCTTAGATAACTAAATGGAAAAGGTGGTAAGGCATCTGGTCCCAAGTTCAAGGCAGAGGTCTGGGCTGGAGATAAAAAAATTTAGAACGTGACTGGTTTTCTTGCTTTGATATCACTTGTATAATAAAAATTTCATAAAAGGATTCGGTAGTGAAAAACAGCACTCTGTTGCCACAGAGTTGATTCTGAGTCCTGGTAACCCTGTGTGTTTCGCAGTGAATCCTCTCATTGGGTTTTCTTGACTGGCGTCTTTAGGGAGAGCCGGTTGTCAGGCCTGTCTTCATGGTGCCACGGCGTGGGTCCGAACCGCCACACTTGAGGTTAAAAACGAGTGCAAACGTTTGTACCGCCCAGGACAAAAGTATGAGGGTGACAGCACGCTGGGGAGAGTCGAGGTGGACAGGTGAATTCGGCTTTGGCATGCTGACGAGATGTTCCCAATCTGTCCTATTTAGGTTCAGACCGTCTACGGTGAAAGACTGCATCCATGATGTGCTCAAGGAGGAACTGACAAATGCGGAGTATATTCCTGAAGAAATGCCTCAGCTCACAAAACATTTATCCGAAACAATTAAAGACAAATTGAAAGGTAATTGTCCTCCTTGGAAATAACCTGTTTCCTTCAAACACTCGGTTTCCTTTGCTGTCTTTGCACAGGGACCCAGCTGTGCTTTCTACATTAGTTTGAGGACACACGCTTCATCAGTGGCTTGTGGTCTTAATTGTTAGGTGATTTTTGCTCATCTCAGGTTTTTCAGACCGTGAGAAAGAGGAAAGACGGGCACTAAAGCATTGTAGGGAACCATTGGCAAAATAAATGCTTGTATCCAGAAAGGGTAGGCGGCACAGGGGCCCCGCAGAGTCTTGGTTGATTTTCCCGTCCAGTGCCAGTTCCCAGTCGGACATTCAGGGCCCTCACAGTCTGGCCCTGGCCCATCCCTCTGCCTTGCTGACCTTCCGACTGCAAATTCCGTCTTCAGAGCTCCTCTGTGCTTGCTCGCCCCGTTCTTTCTCTTCTCTCCCCTGCCTCTTTCTGTTAGTATTAGGCCACCTGAGCCTTTTTTTCCCTCTATCTTTTCTAAAAGATTATGTTTTAGTGGGCAGGGCTATTACTGTAAAAGTAATACTTGTTCATCATAGTAAACCTAGATAATACAGAAAGTACTAAAAATTGTCCCCCTCCCTCCAGTTATGTAAAATTATTTTACCCTCAGTAATCAGAAGGCAAACCCACTGTGATTGAGTCCATTCTGACTCATCATGTTCCGAGACCGTGAATCTTTATAGGACCTGACAGCTTCATCTTTCTCCCATGGAGCAGCTAGTGGTTTCAAACTGCTGACCTTGAGGTTAGCAACCCAACTTGTAACCACTACACCACCAGGGATCCTATGGAAAAGCAAATAAAAATAGAGAAATCATCCCAAATGCTATCATGCAGATCATCACTAATGTCAGGTGAACATCATCCCAGACCTCTCTTGTACAAGGGAGCTTGAAGGACTTTTTAAACCCCATTTGTATAAGATAGAAAAATAATGCTGATAATAATATATGCTGGTAAATAAGTACACTGATACCAATGGGACGCAGTAGATCTGCTTCCCATAGTCATTTGGTGTCATTCCATTTTTAAATAGAATCACTATGTACCATGTGGTTCTTTGTCCCATGGCATTTCATTGTGGAGTTCTTTACTTTGTCCTCCTACTGAGGAGTGGAAGGGCTGATAAAGGCTGTGTTCCCTGGATTCTCTCATGTTGGAGAATGTCTGTCTTCTGCCTGTAAACGAGAATACACTTTGGATTAATATACCATTTCCTTCATTGTTGTCTTGAATTGCATGTCACCGTAACAGTATCTGGTGTCTTTTGCCTAAAGAGCCCTATCCTAACCTCGATGACCATAACCGTGCTAGGTTATAGCGTGATGCTGAGCATGTTCTGTCGTTCAGCCTGCCGATTGTTGTTCTCTTCATGTCAGGGATACTTTTCTTACCTGTCTCAGGACATTTCCTGTTCCATTTGTTATATTTTCTTTATATATCAGTATGTTCAGCTATCTTTGCCTTCCATATCTATTAATTTCTATTTGTCATTATTTTTTCATTGGCATTTACTTACTCTGACAATTAATTTTTTATGTCTGTTTGGTTTGGAATTTATCCATTCTGCAGCGATAGGGAAGGTAGCTGGTTGGTTTCCTTGGTCTGTAATCTTTGTTTTCATCTCTTTGCTTTTATGTGAGTTTATGGCTTATAGTACGATTCTACTTTGATGGCTACTCCATTGTAAGTCAGTTCTGTTGTACGTCAAAGGCCTCATTAGCATTTTTTTTCATTGTTCTTACCTTTTGTTGTCAGTGTCTTTATGGATTTGATCATTATTTGTCTTTGGGGGTTGGAGACCTTGCGTCTGAGGCCGGTAACATCAGCAAATGATGTCCTGCAACATTGGACGTGGCACATATTACTGATGAGAAGATGGGCAGCAATAGCCACAGAGAGAGGGTCTCGAGTGCCTTTTGTTGCAGCAATTCGAATGTGTCCCGGGGACTGCCTCTACTGGAATCAGTGAGGGGTCTCTGCTCTTTGCTTTAT